TAAAAAGTTGTAAGATCATAATGTAGAGCCAGTCTGGTATGCTATTTTTACTTTCCTAACTATTATTATTCAATCGACTGCTAAATCTAAATAACTATAATTAACTCACATAAACAAGATTATTTTTTAAGTGACAATGAAGCGGAAGACTATCTTTAAGTAACAGGTTCTTGAATGGCCGCGTCATTCAAGAGAATTGCTAAAAGAAAAATTACTGCGGTCTTCAAGGTCGGATCGTACTTTTCTTAAGTCAATGATGGTTTTGTGTTAATCAATATATATGTAACAATATTTGTGGACATAAATGTTAATCTAATCTCTTAATTTTAACGATAGTTATTTGTTGTTATGTAGTGTTAGACTAAATTATTTATATTGGATGAAATATTTTCATTAAATTCTGAGTGCCGATCCTAGTTAGATGGCAAAAACGTTATTAAAAACTGTTCACGAATATGTTTAAACCAATAATACATATAAAACTTAAGCTGGAATATTAGAAAAAAGAATAATGTAAATATAGTGAATTTTCATCTTGTATATTTATATTAAAACGAATTTTTCCATAAAAAAATATCTATTTCACCTGTACGAAGTAGGATCCATTCATTTGGGCATGTAATATTATCTTATCTATTGTACGGGTAATAATTTTGAAAGAGTTAAGCTAAAGGCAATTATTTTTAAAAAATAATAAAATATAATGCATACGGCAATCGGTTTTTTTCCATACACTACGAAATAACAAGTAGTATTTCGTGTAATGGAAAATACTGGCCATTTATATTCGAAACATACAAATAATTACTTTGCTTTTTTTAATTATATTTGGTGACATAAATGTCGATCATACAATACCTGCAAGGTTTTTAATTACACAGTATTGGTTTTAGGAATACGTTACGTTTTTTAATATCTATGTTATTTAAACACCTTATTCATCTTCGTTTTCAAAATTTTAAAAGAGCACAGAATGTGTCTTATCCTTATAACTGGTAAAAATAAAGTAGTGGTAGTTTTAAGTATAATTGTAGTATTTGTACCATTATTAGTAATTTCTTTATTTTGCGTGAATCTTGTATTACAATATTCTTGTTTAGAAAATAATAATTTGAAGGAATAGATTTTTTTCCAATGTAACATTGGAAAAAAATATTTCCATGAAACAAAAATATTTATATTTCCATGCTTAACGAGACGTTATCATAAGAAGTGGTAACATGAGATTTTAGTAACAGCTACCTTGTAAATTTGGGTACCTAACTGTTATGAATATAGATATACATGTTTTTAACCAAATAGTAACTGATGGCCTTGTTTATTTAGAAAGTACGAGATATCAGTCGAACCCTGGTCCTTCCTTTTAAATTTGTTTCGGAAGAACTCGGTTTCGCCTCGACCTTCCAATTTAACTCGTCCAACAATTACTTTATTTCCGTCTCGTCGGTACCGTTCTATTTATAAGTCTTCATTTTAAGGAATTAGATGAATTATTCATAATATCAGAATTACTTGTTACATTTTCATCGTATACCTAATCATTTACCACCAAAGTCACTATTTCATACCCAGGATTCATCATAATGTCAAATTAAGATCTAGTCTATGATATCGACTAACATATATATTTATAAACGTTTTCGCCAAGATTCTCGAAATAATGGATAATTCTTATTACAGAAATAAAATTTTAAAATTGAAACATATTGAAAGTATGACAAATTAAAAGAAAATAACAAAATAAAACCTTAATTATAATATCGTAAGTACTATCACTAGGTTTCGGCTCCTATAAATACTCTCCTCATCAGGACATCGAAATATGCGGTAGATATTAATACAGATTGATCTTACTTGTATAGATCAATTTATTCAGTGCTGTATTTTTTGAAGAATTGTGTAATTGTAAAATGGTTCTAATCGTAACGTTTTATTTTCTTTTGTTTTCAGTACGTACGCAGTATCATGTCTGGTGACTGACTGACCCCACTGAAAATCAGCGCTGTGATAAAAATTGGTTATACTACAGTATAAAAGCTGAGTGGGCGTCATTTTCAGCGTTATCAGTTTGTTTTAATTTTTAAGTTATAAAGTAAACATTATTGTAAGTATTAAGACTGATGTAATGCTAAATGCTGGATAAGTCATTATTATTATTATTATTAATTGTAATTTGTGATTACTGCAAAGATATTTAGATTAACATAACACTAATCCTTAAACATACTTGAAATTTGAAACTAGGAAATACTACTTAGTAATTGATCTCAGAATAATAACATTATTTTTACATATAACTAAGTACCTACAATTCGTGTTTTATTATAACGATACATTAATATATATTTGTATATAACATATATTAATGTGTCGTTGTGGTAAAACGTGAATTCTACGAATTGTTCATTGTATGTATATTATATATATGTACGTACTAATTTAGTTAATCCACGAAACGTGGAAGTTAGTATACTATTTCCTACTATTCATTATCACGGAATTCACAACTATAAGTGAGTTTAGTTACATTTGTAATTATCATGACGGTATTAAACTTACTCATTTAGTAAATTTCTGACGATGATGAAAAATAAATCTAGCGTAGTGTATATAATTTTGACTTCACTTAATATTGACAGAACTTATATTTTAGATTAGTCCCAAAAACGAAGAATTCTACAGTTTTGTAGCATATCTGACGTATCTAACAAATGGCTAATTGTGTTCTCTCTACAATATGCTTGTAAATCGAGATAACAGTTTACAATAGTTAACAATTGCACCTAATTTTCTATGTGTATGTACATATATACATACTTAACTACATATAGTATATTTAATTTGCCTACTTTAATATTCAAATTGCAGACAATCCAATACTATTATTTATATACCAGTCATATTAAACACTTGTTAACTATTATCACTATTATTATGTCTAATATATGTTGTGAGTGAAGGACTGGTAAATATACTCGTAATTATGGAACAGTTTAAGGAATAGTGTGTGTGCTTGTACCTACTGAAAAAATATACTTAAATGTCTATGAAATTAACTACTTAAGTCTTGTGGTAACAGTTTATTTATAGTTCGTATAGGTATCAACAGATTTATTAATTTTTTATTCGATGACCATGTCAATTACCTTGAACTTAAAATAGAATAAACCTGGTTGAGGCACTACTAAAATGCTTCGTATTATATTTTTATTTCTTTAGTTTTTCACCGCGAGCAATTACATCGGAATAGAAATACTACATTTTCAACTTTAGATTTACTTTGAAAGGTATCAAATCTTAGAACGCAAATACATATGTATGTAGATGCATACATTATAATCACAAAAGTTTCATATGCACTTAATATTCATATGTAATATTATGTTATCTGTGATATTAAGATTGATTAATCTATTTACTAACCATTAATTTTATCGACAATATAAAACAAACGACTGAAACATATCACACATAGATACAAATATATAATTTGCGTACTATTTTTGTCTAGCTAAACTTTGCGTCATATTACTCCAAACATTATATGACATACAATTTTTTTCTAATGACCACGTGGCTAAACATTAACTAGATTAGTGTGTGTATGTGTGTTTACTCTAGTGAACTAATTAGCAGCGTACATTACCTCACACAAATGAATGCATGGGAAGATTAAATAATCCAAAACACGAATAAGGCACGTAATTGAAAACTAAATCTTATAGAATTCTTTTACCCATACTCACAATTTATATCAGTGATTATAAACGTGAGACTATAGAACACTTCACTTTACTAATCACTACACCTTTCGTGCAACTAAGGAACTTAAGCACAATTATCAATGAGGTAATGACAATAAGGCAATTTTATTATGAGCTCAATTGTATTAAAGCATGTAAAGTAGGTTAAGATCCTCTCTTCAGATTCAAACATTATTACAAATAAACGTTGGAAGTAATGACTAACACTAGTTTAATGTTACTACCCATATGGTACACGTGAGTAATAATAATGCAATTTTATTACAAATTCAATTCTCAAGAGTCATATTAACATGAAATGTTTGTTAAATTCACAAATTTCCTCCCTATAACTTCAATGTCGTTAGAAATAGTACACACTATTACGTACTGTCCAAGCAATAATAAGAAAGAAGAATCTCTTGACATGTCAGTGTCCAGCCTGAGTGACCTTACGTCACGCGCCCACTGCTTTGCGCCGTTACACGCGTTGGGAATACTAACGTCTGCAGAACGCCTTGGTTGATCCTTGGCTTCAAAACCGAGCTCCTTTCTTAGTAGACTGTTGCGTTGCGTTCACTCAATGTTTTCTATTAAGATTTACCGTTAACATTAAATATTTGACAATACTATCGTAGCTGGACAGACAAAGTTGGTAATGAGAGGTGGTTATTAAATAAATATCTATAGTTGTTAGCAAATAAATATAACAAAACTTATACTTATTAATTTGCAATGAAACATGGAAAATCATATTTGTTTAATTTTTAGATCTGCGACCTTTGTTCAGGAACAGGTCGGCTACCCATATACTTATCAAGTGTGTGCTCATTGATTAGCACTTTAGGGAAAAACTGCTTATTTTGGATCGAGGCCGTCTATCTGATATGGTATCATCATCTGGTAGTTCTACAATTTATCTACCTTCAAGAAATTCTTATCAATATTTGTCTTACGATTGTGGTCTCAATAAATATTTGATACAAATACCTGTATGTGATTCAACAATGAATGGTTCGAAATATACTATGAACTAATAATATTTTAAATCACATAATTATATAAATTAAATTCGTCTCAAGGTATTTTCATTAAACGATAGTATAATTAATACACGAAATTATATTTATTAGAAAGATTATATCTAAGACACTTCCAAAACGTTTTGTGTGTGTCCACAGAATAATTTTGTCATTTCATCACACCATAAAAAGACTGTATGTATTTTATGTCATATTGTTACAATTAGTGTCTCACCTGATCAATTGAAAATTGTTGTAGCGTTTGGTGTTCCTTAAGTCGTCCAGTCCAAGAGCACTTACACTACCGCGAATCGATTAAGTTATTTGAATAGTGTGAAATTACGAGAAGTGAGGGCGCCAGTTAGCGCGAGGTATGGTCGCGAAGAGCGCGTGGACGGCGCCTGCGCTCGAATGCAGGTGCGAGCTGGGTACTGCCGGCGCGCGCTCCACCACCATCGCTTTTATCACTTCGGACTTCAACTTGACTTCCCATACGTCATAAAGTGTTTACCTGTATCGCGAGAATATTTCAGAATCCTATAAGCATCCTGTTTTCGATTTCTGATTGCAGTCTATGCTACGGATTTGTAGATTACAAGGACGCCATAGGGATATCATTAAGTAGAAAATATTAGTTTTAACTAAACTCTCAGTCAAACGAAGAAAATAATTCCGTATCTGTAAATTATAAGTTAAAAGTTGGAAAAAATTATTGTGTGCGCCATTTATGTGGTGGTAGTTACAGGTTTTGTCTATGAACAGCTTGGTTTTTCTTTATTAATAATAGTAATAATAATCTCAGGACAATTCACACAGTGCCATCTAGACCCAAGTAAAGCTAGCTAAAGCTTTTGTTATGAATACTAGATAACTGATACAAATACATAGACATTTTTCTTTCTATACACATATATATTACACCCAGACCGATACAAACAATCATGAATACAAATGTTTGTGCCGTGCAAGGAATCGAACCCGCGACCATCGGAAGTAAGGTAGCGTATTAAACCACCGAGGACGTCAAATTCGTCGTTTATTAATTGGTGGTAATGATGATCCTGCCTGTACTAATGCATATTAAATCAGTCAGGTCAGTTAGCTCATCATAATAAATTCATCAGGTATTAAGATTTCAGGTGTCACACAATATCAAGAAGCTTTCAATCAACACAATGATTCATGTAAGTAAGGAGTACTCGTATATTATTGCACTGTAAATTTCAAGTACTAAAGGCGAACATATTACAATATGTTCGCCTTTAGTACTTGAAAAATCAAATTTGGGAAACAGTAGTTCAGGTAAAGGAAATTTTGGACGATAGGTTTAAAGGATCAGGTAAGTTGACAATAGGATTAATTATAAGGATTAGACTAAGGTACTACACTATACATATTAAATATATACAATATGTCATTATACTTATATAAGACCTTAATATATTAACAGACAACTATTTACATATGATATATTTATATAGAGGCAGGCATTTTTATATTTACAATTTTATGTTATTACTACTTAGAAGAATCGAAATACTTTTATAATATCTTGGAACATCAAAAGACGAAGTCCAATACGGACGCGGATAAAAAGTAAAACATCATATATAAATTATTTCTCAGAAATTATATTCAATAACACTTTAATCTTATATTATTATGGTTTATTGACAAAATAGGACTGACGTAGATTTATTAATGATGTGGTAGCGAATAGTTATTTCCTGATGCATTCAATATAGAAACATTGTATTAAAATAAGTTTAATGTATGTATAACGATTGGTATCATGTGGTATTATTTTCTTTTAATTTCCGTAAACAGAGTGTAAACCTTCATTCACGGTAAGCCAAAACTAGTTCAACTTAATTGGTTGCTAGTGATCTATTTAATTAATATTTTATCTCTACCTACTTATGGTTTTAAGCATTTTATGTCAATTACATGCGTCATTGTATTATTATAACGTCAGTGGGTATTATTAATTATTTTCTAGAAAATTGTATTCAAAAAACCATTTCTTAAATGAGGAACATTTGAAAGAACTCGTAGTTCATGTACAGATGACGATTGATGGGTATTCCAAAATTAATGAATAACACTCTCTCGAAGAAGTGAAGGTGTGAAGCTAATAAAAATTATCCTTTATATTGTATAATATGAAGATTAAAAATAAATATTAAACATAAATGAAGCAAGGTGTTGTTAATACAAATAAAAATAAGAAGTCAGTGTTTTTAATACCTGATTGTATAAAATGAGTATAATTTTAATTAATTTCCTAAACTGGTCTGTATTTTGTACAAATACCATAAAATATGTAAGTTTAACATTTGGAAAATAACCCCATAGAAAATCGCCCTTAACATAAGGGTAGGTCAATCAAGTCATCAAGTAGTACATTCTCTAGTCAATTTAATTAGAGAGTATAGGTTGATTATATATAGATTTAGATACCTACTTATACAAACATTTTGCTTTGATCTTGTTCTTACTATTACTAAATAAGAATTACCTACATATAACAAACTTTAGAATTAATAATAAATATATAATAATAAATAATCTTTGAAGAATTAATACATATTCATATTAGATTGGCTGTCCATTTACACTTCTTTTCTTTAATCTAATCGGGGCAGTATGCATGATTTCATTGATTGTGAAATCGTGCATACTTTCCCGAATAATTGGATTTGTCTTAATTCATCATCTATCATCGTATAAAAATGGATAACGTTTAACACTACCGCCACTCTTCATCCAAAACACAACTTACAGCACGATGATTGACTACAGAAATAGATAATACAGAGTTACCCAAGCAGACGACTTTGTAATAAATCTGCATCGGTATAAACATTAACCATAGCATATACATACCATACCATAGTTCCTTGTAATGTGTAATTAATACTAAATACTATAAGAAATATTTGACAGTTACATTAAAACAATATAGTGTCTTTTGGGCGGTAATTTTTATATGAAGTGTTTATTTGGCAAAATTCCATTTAACAAGACATGAGTTTCTGGTCGTAAATAGATCTTTAATGAGGTACTAAGGCAGCTGATATCTTATAATATCTACTGAAGCCTACTGTTACCGAACCGGAACAACTGCTTTAAAAGGCTAATTTACACGAAACGGAATATTTTCATTTAGGAAGCATATTTTTTGTATAATAAAATAAGGATATAAGGGACAGGAATTATTGTTATAATCTATAGTATGAGTACATATTTTACTATGCCTTGTAGAAATGAAAACGGACAGTTTGGTAATTTGGTAACATACTACTCGTATATACAGGTTAAAAATATAAAGAGCTGTAGGTATAGGAAATAAGAATTCCTAGAAAATTATATTTATAGAAAAGTAATTCAGTTGTGGCAAAAATTTTATATATTTTTAAATAATAAGTGGAAAGATATGAAAAGGTAAGTCTAAATTATTCCATGAAAAACGATGATTGTAGTGGAAACGCCCTGTGGTTTGCGGTACGTACCTACAAAGTAAAGCCTTGGAATTTAAAATCTCGTGATATCATCTGACCATAATTTATTATGGATATTCATGTTTGTAATTTCAATACAAGTAAATAAACTGAATACACTAGATACAAGCTTTTAATTTAAGATTGAATTTGATTAATTTTTATGTAATAAAAAAAAAATGTCGCGACCGATGTCATATGTACAGAATGTAACAACAATATCTATAGGTAATCTTATCGCTGTATGCAGTAAAAAAATACATATATGTATATCTAATATGTCACATGCCAAGGCCTGCTGGATAAACTAAATATTCAAAGTTTTTGTTGCCAACAATTATTAAATTCTCTTACAAATTAAATTAATTCTCTACGTTGGAACAAACTATTGCAGCGATACATTTACGCTTGTTTTTCACCTAAAAGTACATTGCTTTTTATACACTCGAGCAAGAGATGAAAATCCAACATACTATCAACTGTACACTAAATCATTTGTAATTTTAAGACGGCCTCAGTGATCTTATGGCGGTTTAGGAAACAGCGCACCTCTTTCAATATCTACAAATGAAAAATATGTCTAAGTATCAGTTGTTTAGTAATTATACTTGGAAGTTTTGATTGTGAATTTTTAAGAATGATAAAATATATTATTTTTTTGTCAAACTTATTTTGTAGTTATAATTAATATACGTATAGCTGATTAAGCTGGTTCTTATTAGTAATAATTGTATTCATAAAATTTATGTATATGCAATGAAAAATGTGACATCAATATAAATATCTATTTTCCTTCAATTACTTACGAAAAGAATAATTTATAATTTTAACTTTGATTTATTTCGATTGTCAAACTTGTATATTTGACAAGTGGGCTTCACAAAATCACGTCAATTAGAATTGTGATCACGTAATTCTTAGAATAAATATTAACTTGTTATTACTTTGTAATACGAGTTTGATTTTCCACATTGCACAGTAAGTAGATAACTGGATGGATTCGTTGTGATTTGATATTAATATTTTGATTAGGTAACGAAAGTATATATCTTCTCTCTGCAATGAATTTCGACAAAACCAAGATCATGTTCAATTCGGTTGCCATTAATGGAGTTCCTCTCGAAGTTGTTCAGGAGTATATTTTCTAGGGCAGACGCTCCAACTAGGTAAAAACAACTTTGAGAGGGAGGCCAAGAGGCGAATACAGCTAGGCTGGGCGGCTTTTGGGAAACTTCGTCAAGTCTTCTCGTTGTCGCTACCACAAAGCCTTAAGACCAAGGTTTATAACCAGTGCGTTATGACATACGGTGCCGAAACGTGGACACTGACGATACGACTGGTCCATCAACTCAAAGTCGCTCAACGAGCTATGGAAAGGGCTATGCTTGGAGTTTCTCTGAGGGATCAAATCCGTAACGAAGTAATTCGTCAGAGAACTAGGGTCACCGACATAGCTCTTTGTATTTGCAAGTTGAAGTGGCAGTGGGCTGGTCATATCTGTCGTAGAACCGATGCTCGCTGGAGTAGGCGTGTTCTAGAGTGGAGACCGTGAATTAGCAAACGTAGTGTAGGATGCCCCGCAGCTAGGTGGAGCGACGACATACGTAGGGTTGCAGGTAAAAAATGAAAGAGAAGGGCTGAAGATCGTGCCCAGTGGCGTGCCTTGGGAGAGGCCTATGTCCAGCAATGGACTGCAGTGGGCTGATGATCATCATCATCTGCTTCTTCCTTATCCCATTTATTTGGGGTCGGCGTAATATGTTTTTCTCTTCCATTCATCTCTGTTCGCAGTCATCCCGTTATTTACTCCCTTTCTCACCATATCATCTTTCACACAGTCCATCCATCTCTTTTTCGGTCTTCCTCTACCCTTATAACCATCCACATTCATATGTAACACTGTCCTTAGGATATGATCTTCATTCCTACGCATTACATGCCCATACCACGATAGACGATTACCTTTTAACCTCTCTGACATCGGTGCCACTTTCATACTTCCTCTGATGTATTCATTCTTTATCTTGTCTATCCTCGTCACACCACACATCCATCTCAACATTCGCATTTCAGTTGCATGCAGTCGTCTCTCATCCGTCGCCTTTATGGGCCAGCACTCTGATCCATACAAAATAGTAGGACGGATCATGGTCTTGTAAATTTTGCCCTTAAGTTTAAAGGGAACTCGTGAGTCGCACGTCGTCGCCGTAACCTGCCGCCACTTCATCCAACCTGAGTTAATCCTGTGCTTTATGGTTCGGTCTAATTCGCCATTGCTTTGGAGGAGTAAACCTAAATACCGGAAATCGGAGCAGATCGGCAATGGAGCTCCATTTAGTGATATGGCTGCAGAGCCAGAAAGACCGCCAAAGTCGCAAAACATGTAATCCGTTTTGGAATTACTAATCTTTAAGCCACCACTTTCCAGCTTTTGCTGCCACATCGCTAATCTACTCTGTATCTCAGCTCCCTCCTCACCAACGAGCACAATGTCATCTGCAAATAGCATGCACCAGGGTGCCTCTTCTTGTATCTCCGACGTCGAGGCATCCATTATCAACAAAAAGAGGTACGGGCTTAAAGCCGATCCCTGATGCAAGCCTACAGCCACACTGAACTCGCTGGTATTTCCCGCGGCCGACCGAACGTATGTACGAGGTTGACTGTACATAGCACGAATCAACTCCACATACTTCACTCGCACTCCTCTATCTTTCAGGGCCCACCACAAAACTCGGTCCGGGTACTTTACGTACGCCTTTTCCATGTCCACAAACACCATGTGCAAGTTCTTGTGAGCACGTCTGTATTTTTCACACAGCTGGCGCAGTGCAAATATGGCATCTGTGGTACTTCGGCCTGGCATAAATCCAAACTGGGTTTGGGTGATACTAGTCTCATCACGCAATCGCTTCTCTATCACTTTCTCCTATACTTTCATACTGTGAGACATGAGCTTTATTCCTCGATAATTATTGCAATCCTGTACATCACCCTTATTCTTAAAAATGGGCACTAGTGAACTATTGCACCATTCCTTAGGGATCGTCACTTCCTGCAATAATTTATTAAAGAATAAAGCTAACCACTTGCATCCATTTTCTCCTAATAATTTCCAGACTTCTGCTGGTATGCCATCTGGCCCAACAGCTTTCCCATTCTTCATACTTTTCACTGCTTTCCTTACTTCATCCATACCAATCTCATTTAGTACACCGATGTTTACCGAGACATCTTTTGTAGGATCATCCCACAGATTCTCTTCATTCAAAAGTTTTTCAAAATATACCTTCCAACGTGTTTTTATGTCGTCGTCTTTTAACAAAATTTGGCCTGTATCATCTTTTATACATTTCACATGCTTCATATCATTCGCTCTTTCTTCTCTCATTTTTGTGATCCTGTATAGTTCTTTTTGACCACTGGGGTCATCAAGTGACTTGTATATTTTATCTAATGTCCTTGTTCTGGATATTGCTACTACTTTTTTTGCTTCCTTTTTAAACTTATTATAAATTATCTTTTTCTCTTGTTTCAGACGATCATTCTCTATAGGTACCTTTTGCCAATCTTTAAAAGCATTCTTCTTTTCTTTTAATATCTTTTGCACTTCTTCAGTCCACCACCATGTATCCTTATCTATTATGCCCTTTCCCTTACTTTCTCCAAAGACCTCTTTTCCTACCATTCTAATATAATGTACTATTTCATCCCAACATTCATTCACTGTTTTTCCTTTCATATCTTTCATACTAATCATTTTGTCTACACTTCATTCCTGAATCTACTTGCATACTCCTTGTTTTCTATCATTCGCCATTTAGTTGTAGGTGGGGGGCGTTTCTTATTTTTATTTATATGTACTTTAATTTTTAGTTCTATTAATAACAATCTATGTTGTATGACTAAATCTTCTCCTGGCAGCACTTTACAGTCTTTCACAGTCCATAACTTGTTTCGTCTCGTAAGGAAAAAGTCTATTTGTGTCGCATGGTGACCGCTTAGTGATAAGGTGTTTCTCTTTTTTTTTAAACCATGTGTTTACTATAGCCAGGTCAAATGCTGAAGCAGTTTCTAATAAAGTTTCGCCATCCTCGTTTCCTATACCAATACCAATCGACCTATCCCCATGAACTCTATCATAGTTTTCATTATGTACAGGCGTATATGTAGGCACATGTCCATTAAAATCCCCTCCAACATATACCTCTTCATTTTCATCAAAATCTTCCCAAAACTTTGCTTTTACGTCTTCATCACTTCCAGTCTGAGGAGCATACACACTAATAATGTCCAGAATCATGCTCTCTACTATCACTTTCACAGCTATTATTCTATCACTTATTATCATTATCCAGCACTATTCCAACCCCATTCCTTTTCCCATCACTTCCTACATAGTAAAATTTATATCCTTCCCCAATCTCTTTAGCTTTCGCTCCTTTCCATTTCGTCTCCTGTATACACGCTACTTTTATTCTTCGCCTTTTCAATACCTCCGCTAGCTCTCTTCCTCTTCCAGTCATCGAACCTACATTCCAACTACCATACCTCATACATACTTCTCTTATTTTCTGGACTTGCTTCTTATGTTGCACCCGTCCGTTGTGGTGCAACAACCCTTGTCCATTTCTCGCAGTAGCCGGGTGCTGCCCCTGCGCGTCGCCTCGGGGGTACGCCCTAGTCCGATCATCAATTCGTTCACTCAAATTCATATTACGAGAGAATGGTTTTGGCTTCAGTTTTTCTTTTTTTTTTTATGACCGGCCGCCTGCCTGACGTCAGCCCTCCTTGGGCTTCTTTAAATGATCTTCTCCGGTAGTCCGGTAGCCCCACCTTACTGTAATCTTCTAGGAAGGCTTATTTAGTTTGAAATCAGAGTTTTCCATCTCCTATTTGAACTACCAACCAAGGTTGACGAGGTCCAACTCCCCGGGCATAAGAGCTTTGTTTATAGTGGCGGCCCTAATTCGCCACTGCCATCTGTCATAATGGAGTTTTGCGCGCTATTTATGGCGGTATACCCTGCCATAGGCTCCCCGGCACCTCTCCGACAGACCGCTGCATTGTCTGCAACTGCTTATTGGTTATTCACAGCTAACCTCCATATCTGGGGGCCGTTCGCTATCCGCAACCTGCGACGCGTATGGTGGCAATGAGCTTTGCCCCTGGAAATCTTCCTCCAGAACCACAGCTGATGATGATTATATATATAAATATTAATTTGGTGTTAAGAGTACAAATTTGGAGAACATTAATATGAAAACATAAATAAAATATAATGTATGGAAAAAATTGAGATAGTAATCAGAGATGTACCTACATGATTCCAAAACCACATTGCCTATTTATTTATAAGATTGTTACCCCGGCAAGAAAGAACGAAGAAAACGGATCTGTACTAGTAATATAGCAAGTATAAAAATTAAGTGAATATCTATACGTACAGTATACAGAGTTTTTATAATGGATGTCATACTGAAACCAATAATTGTAAACAGATAATTTGTGATTCGTAAAATTTACTCTACTTTTCCTGAAGCTAAGGAAAATCTATAAAATCATGTTTGAATATTTCATACAAACAGTCTGCTGTCAGATTTTCCTGGTAGCACTGTGACAGAAGCTCCGACAGTTCAGGGAAATTAGCACCACTGTAGTTCTATTTCACCTTTTAGTTCCTTCAGGAACCCTGACTTCTTCATATATCTAAAATGTAGTAAAAGTTGTTATATGATGAATCACTATTTGCAGTGAATAACACAAGGCAAACAGATAATCCGCTGAGTACAAGATTAGTAGGGTAACCTGAGACAAAATTGTTGTATATTGTTTATAAAAGTTTGTGTCATTCATTTTTAATCTATGGTATCTCTACAGTGGCAGATGGCTTTATCATATTTATCTTTATTTATGATGCGCTAGCTAGTCTGTACGTTTTTGTTTAATAATACGTTGGAATTATTTCTTCAGTTTTGTATAAGTTTGTTCAGTTGTATTTTTACGTTTTATTAAAGAATTAATAACAAAAATATTTAATAATTGTGCTACCTAAATAGATAAATAATAACTATATACAATTACAATTATATTCAGAAGTAAAATTAAAGTAGGTAATAAAGGATATAAAAACAACTGTTTACATTTTTACATATTATTATAATGCATGTCAATTAACAATAAAAAATAATTTAATTGCAGACAAACGTTACATAGATGTCATATTTATGAATTACATGTGTATGTGCGAAACTTTATGATGTGAGTAAATATAAAATATCTAATAGTTTCCTATACTTATTGTATAAATTAAAAAAAAATAAGTCACATTTATGGCCCGGTATTTATTTGATAGGGAGTTATTATGCGGACCATTCTAACAGGCCAATCAGCAATCTGCCGAACGCCTGTCTGCTTGAAAGCGGCTAATACTTTGCTGTGTATAAAAAATTAAGACAGTGTTGACGTTGAAGATTCGTGTCGCGTCCAAAGCGAGATGAAAAGAGCCATAAGATTTTCTTATTAAGAATATAGGTGGTAATTTGATGTAAAACATGTAAAACATCAAATTACTACCTATTTTAATTATCTGCAAATCCTTCATTTATGAGAATTCACCTATTACTGCATCGAAAATGTCAGTGATTCGAAAATGTCAACCATTAAGAAAATAATTATGAAGATTTCATTATAATTAAAAAGAGCGTGTTAGGTTTCTTACTTTTGGATGTTGAATTGGTTTTCCTGTACAATGTGTATCAATGTATACCGCCCCAAGCTATATTAGTACCTATTAGATGAAAAGACAATAATAAAATCAGATCTCTTAATCCATTGTATTAAATGTTGCAGGATTTAACCATTATGATTTCCAGAGTGGACCGAGCCAAGGTCGACCAGATTTGTGTGACCGAACGGATGCCAAATCATGTTGTGAGTACATGCTTTGAGACTCATATTATCAATTAGACATCACCGTCAATACTCAGTGGTTTATTTGCCCATTTAATTATATATACATATATATATAATATTCAGAGTTTTAATATGCCCTACTCACTTTCATTTAAGTTGGTGTAAGTACTTAGGTATATTTTAATGCAACTGCATGAGTCTTGCCTTTAGCACGTGACTGTTACAATTCATAAACAATAACGTGATCCTTATTCAATTTGTATAACTTTCCAGAAAGTTTGGCCTCAACTTATTTGACATTGCCGACTGTTATTTAAAAAATGTCATAAAACTCGTTTTTAAGTAACTTCCTATATTGTTTATGTTATAGTACACTAATTTATTCTTTAAAGAACTAGTCGTTTTCTGCTGCTACGCTTCCGCAAAATCCTGTATCGCTCGTTCTCTCGGAAATCTACCGAAGCTTCTACACTTAACTACATTCCTAACCTTAAATATAGTCTATAAATCAGTACCAAAATATATGTGTAATTAATGTATTGTATAACAATACAATAGTAGTGTACTCAGCTAACAATCTAATGTAGTTCAGAATTGCTCGTTCTCAAAAAAATAAGTATCCACAAATCCTTGGATTGACATGGCAGCCCACATTGTAACTTTGAAGGAATGCAGAGTTTGTTGTTTCTATTTAAGATTTTCTGAGGTCCAAAATCAACCACTTTGTTTATTGATATATCCACGACGAAAGGTGAAAATGCGTTACGTCGGAATAGAGGATGTTGTTAAAATCAGCCCTCGTTCGCGAGTATGATGGGCCACCTATATTATACCATATATACCATACAAACACGTTTTATATAAAAATTTAATTATTCATATATTTAGTTTAGGATAAACTACAGAGATATGTAATCTTCGTGACTAATTGACAATTTCTTATACCTATCAGTTATTATGATAAATAAAGTAATTATCCTGAAATGTCAATTATATATATATCTACTGACAAGTAGATAGTAATTCTAGACGGTGTAGAAGAGTGATCCATTAATATTCTTTCTTTTTCTTTTATTGCAATTATGTACAATGTATAAGATATTAAGCGATTCATTTAACAGGTGCTACGAAAAATACTACTAATGGTAAATTAATTTTGAAATAACACATGTCAATCAGTCACATACCTACCTATCTGTCTTATATGTAGTAGATAATTAAAGAAACAAGAATATAAGTTATGATTACATATTTATAATAAATTAATGTGTAATTCTTAGTCTTGGGAATTTCGGAAATCTATATTTTTTTATCAGAACTGCGGCTGGCTGAGTCTATGTGCATACATTGATGTCATTAAATATATAATGTGACCAATGTGCTGAGGCTTTTAGTTCATAATCTTAGGTGCTAATCGCTAACATTCATGACATTGTCGTCATTGGAATTGTGACGTAGCAAAGGTGGCGAAACTTTGGCTAAGTTGACGCTACTCTGACGATATAGTCCGAAAGATCAAGGACAATATTTAGCTAGGTATTCATTTTGTTGCGTATTCTTACAAAGTTCAATGTCGAGTAATGATTCAATGTATTGTATATTATAGTAAGCTTATTATATAATAATCTTAGTTATTAGGTCATGTGTTAAAATTTTGCACAAAGTAACCTTGTACTTATCATTAAATAAATACATTCCTAGTGTTGAAGTCCTCTTTGTCAATTTAGACAGTTTGACGTAGCGCTTTATGCGATTATTATGTGACCATGATAAGTAATCATGGTCACGCAATATAATGACCTCAATGATTAATTAATCTATAATTATATTTGAGACTATTAATTACTTTCATAGTTAATTTATTATAGCATAATACAAGTACAAAACAATGACATATGCAACGAAAACATCATAATCAACTTACAAAGATTTGTCATATGAAACTCTTTTTCCAGTTTATCATTCAAATGTTCGCTTATAATGTTACATTTATATTCTTTAAATTAATTTTATTACTTGCCGAGTCGTTATTATAAGGGAAAGTAGGCTCCAAAATAAAAGAAATGTAATCCCTAAAAATTACGATTTACATTCATGAAGGTACCTATATGAAATGGCTGCATTTATAATGGCTGAGAGAGACTCTTTGACATGTAACCACATATTTGATATTGCAATATGATTAGTTCCAATTGAACTTACAGAAAAATTAAACAAAATGGGAACAGTAATGCCCTACACTAGTCTAGTCCAACCCTTGAGGATATTAACTATACATAGATCTATTGATATATGTCTATGTATAGATAAAATCCTCAAGTATAATAGTAACAGTAGGTATTTGTAAAAATATTTCTTTGTTTTGACATACTAAATTATATTTCAAAT